GATGCCGATTTGCATTTAAAGTGCACATACATCGGCATGCGATGCGCGCGCTTGCGCGACGAAAATTTATGGGGCCTCGGGAAAATACCGGATAGAGGAGGGGGGGGGGGGNAATGAGAGAAAAAGAGGAAAAATCAGACGAGAAGAAAATAGCGCGTGCGCGTGACCCTGTTCGCGGCGTGAGCTAGGCTCTATCGCGTTGTGCATCGAATGGAATCTGATAAATCTCATCGAGCGGACTGCAGACCTGACGCTCCCGTTCTCCGTCGTCGTCCTTCCGTTCGCGTCGCGTTTTATGGGAGAGAACGCAAAAGTATCGCGGCATACCGGAGAAATTGTATTTCGCGAAACGCCGCGCGCGTCGTCGCGCGTTTCTCCGATCGGCGGAAAGTGCGTCACCGCGAGGAAATTTTTACCCGTCTATCGATCAGGCTTATCTCCACGGAGAAAAAGATCCCTTTGAATTCGATCAAATTTCTTTAATTGACAGCGAATTTGTCTTCTGGGATGGAGCAAAAAGTGGACGTTTGATTCAACAAACAGGATTGTTCGGTTTTTTCAAACAATAAATATCTTTACGTCGAATAACACGTTTTTATCCGAACCTTATGTTGCAATAACACTTCCACATTTCAGACAAAATGATACTTGATATTAAATTAAGCTATTCATATTAAATAAACCAAGTCGAACAAACGCTAAACGCGATCCCGGTTTGCGGGAAATTGCGTTTTCTCGCGAAATAAAAATCGCTAACGAGATACTACGAATCAGCTATCGGGAGCTGATGACGGAGTCGCTTTCGCGACATTTCCAGCGAATCATAACGACAAAAACGTGCCGGTCCGACGAAAGAGCGGATAATCGGTTTCTAGGACATTCACGCGCGGTTATCATGCGGAGTTAATTGCTGTAGGAAACGAGCGATCGAGAAATCCCGATGGCAGCGAACGTGACTCACCGCGGCTCATGACTATTGGCTTTCGAGAAAGGTGATCTCGAATCTGTGTCACGTGGAGTGTTACATAGAGAATTTTAGGCACGCCTCGACGCGCGTTGCGTCAACAACGCGCCGCCACGGTCCCCAGGCTATCCTGATGGTATCCTCCAATTTCTACTTCGCCGGTCGATTCTTTAATTAGTCTCGCGACGATTCACGTGGTCGTGCGTGTACATTAATACAGGCGCTGTAACACGAACAAAGCTCTCCAGCGTTGAATCGCACCAAGTAGAGAGTAGAGAGAGAGAGAGAGAGGATAACTTACGTTGATCTCGCAATCACGTTGCGAACACGTAACCGAATCGTTTGCGGTCGGAAGTGCACGTGCAAGCGCGCGAGTGACTTGTTGCGGTAGGAAGTATGTGTGTATCTTATCTATTTACGTCGCAACGGTTACCGCATATGCAAGGTAGCGCACGCGGGGCTTGATATACATAACCGGTAATGCGACAGTTATTGTCTGTAAATGGTAATGCCATTGTAACCAAGCGTGAAATAGAGGCTGCGTGTATATCGGCAGTTTATTAGCGTTCATCCGCGATATCGAGCGTGAGTAAAGCGATACCTGCGTGTCGAGACGCGCCGGCCGGGATACACGTTTAAACTCGGAATCGACACACGTGCACCTAACGCGCGATTATTCCGCGATACGTCATATAATATCATTCCCTTTGGTTAACTTTATAATTATCGTGATTATTCACCCGGATAGAGCATTAATACCAGCTCGTGTTGCTTTCTCGCCTTTTAGGTCCAAATTAGTCGTAACGAATTAGTCGTGACGCTCATTATAGGCAGAAATAAGATTTCCTTTGATTTAATATGCGTGTTTGTTTGGATTTGTTTAATATAAAACAACATTTTTTAAAATATTAAATATTATTGTTTTGTTTGAATGAAATTTTGTTTGAATGAAAATGTCGCTTCATTGGAAAAAAGAATATTTTATTTTCAGTAAAAAAAGAAAATTTATTTCGTTATATATTAAATATTATTTTACTGAAACAAAAAGAAGTTCTTTAATAGTTTTCTAATATAATATTACTCCTTTCAAATAATGTGTTACTTGTGAAAGCCATTGTAATATTTGGATGAAAATACAAAAGAAATATGTTATTTGACACAAAGATATTTATTGTTTGAAAAATCAAACAATTCTGTTTGTTGAATCGTTTGTTTGCACTATTCTAAAAGACAAATTTACTTCAATTAAGGAAATTTTATTAAGAAATCTTTTCTCTATGTACGATTTATTAATGTTATGAAAGCCTTCGTATCCAATAAAGATGCTATTATTATTATTATTATGAAATCTCTCGCAGAGAGTGAGGAGGAAAACTTGAAAATGGGAATTGCACCCGTCACGGCGCGTTCCATCGCGCCGTTCTGGCGGAGTTTTATTGCAGGAAGCAAAATCATCGGGGTGAAATCCGGCGACGCGATGCGACATGCGAAATTAATCAAAGACGCGAAAACTACGGTAATTGGATGTGATAATAATGATTTCCGTTATTCGATGTACTGACAAAAGGATTTGGTAATAAGTACTTAAATTCAGTTAATATATACCGACCAAATGTTCGATTACTGAAACCGAATAATTCAGTTCCGTACATTAAATTTGCGGTATTCGGAGTTACAGTACTGCGTACACGATATACAAAGCTAGATTATTTGGTGGCAATAATCAAACATGTGGTCGGTATATATTAACCAAACTTTGGCACTTGTTACCAGACCCTTCTTTCAGTGTATGCGCGCGCTAATTAAGAATATCGACAAAGTTTCAGCGCTAAGACCCTCGACGCTCGAGCCGGAGCTCGAAATTAAATTCGACACCGAGAGGAACGACCGCATTGTGTCGAACGCGGAATTTGCATTACGACGATTAACATACGGAAGGTGTTTAACGGTCGTACCCGATTCTCGCGTACTTGTACAGTAATTCGTCGGACGAGCCGTGAATACTTCGTCACGTTGCAACCTTCTCAATAATTGGATCATATTACGCGTCGCTCTCTCGCCCGCCCGCTCCTCTAGCTTCCTTTTAAACGAGTTAAACGCTCGCGCGGTTTTCACCCAATCTGGATTCCTCGCCGGCGGCGGGCCTCCGTAATCTTCCGTCGACGTGCTCTTCATGAGAATTCATCGCATCCCTCGCGGTTGCCGACACGAATATATTAACCCGTCGATATAGATTCGGCACGTTCGCAGATGAACCCCGAATTTGAATATAATACTCTCAGGGTCGGGAAAGGGGATAAACCACGAGGTGTAGTTCGTCTATTTACTCTGCCTCACCTATCTGCCACGGAGATCGCGAGACTGTCGGAAACGGCTCGGTGGTTCAGTGGTCGCGATCTATTTAAGACTCTCGTTTCCTCGCCACATCCATCTTGATTAATGACGTCAGCACATGGAAAACGTATGTCCAAAATTCTTGCGGAATATGTTGAATTAAAAGGTACTTTTTTAAATTGAATTAAAAGCCCATAAAATGATACTTCTGGTCGACCGAGCATATTTGTAAAATATTCCTTGCTTTCTGTTCTGACAATCAATAAATAACCATAAAATTAACGTGACAAAATCAGAATGAGAAAAGATAGGCTGAAAAGAAAAGTTACATATTATGTTAATTTTATTTATTAATTGTCGGAGCAAAATGAAAGTTTCCGGAATATTTTACAAATGTGCTCTCAGTCGGTCATTCTGGACATGAGTTTCCTTGCTTCTGACTTGTCATCAAACAAGACGATAACCAATTTTCGTTCAAATCTCAGATGGGGTGGTAGTTCAAATAGAGCGAAGGTTATTGTCGAGACGCGTATTTTTCTTCGAAATTTTTAGTAAAATTCCAACTTTATGTATTTCAATGTTTTGACACGTGTACAAAATTCCCACAAATTCTCGATCTTTCTTTTTCTCTCTTCTTCTCATCCCGTTTCGCGAGTGTCGTGAGTTTACTATCACGATCTGCGCGCGAGAGCCCCATCGTGGATTTATTGGCTCGGGTTTTCGTTGGCACGTGGTAACACTTCTGTCAAGAGTCATTCACAACTCCCGAGGATCCCGAGTATCTTGCACCGTTTATTCTGGTGGCTCGGCTCGATGTCGCCTGCAATCTTCGATTACTTCTTTTTTTTTCATCTATTTCTTTCCTCTCTTTCTTCCTCCATTTTCCTTCTCCTTCTTTATTTTTTTTTCTTTTGACTGACATCGTTCGCGCTGGACCGAATGTGCCCGTCGCGCAAGTAGCACGGCACATTCGTCTATTTCACGTTCTCACGCGTCGCCGAGCCGCGACTATGACATTTCGCGAGAGCTCTTTAGTTTTTGCGCCTTCGGACTATTTTAACGTTCTAGGCGGCTCTGTAAAATGTATCCCTGGCATTCCAGCGGAGGTGGACTACTAATGCGAATGGGCGTGTGTCTCTGCTTCGCTTAGAACCGGATAGTTCGATAGGATCTTTTTGTCCACGGATAAACGGCTTAACGGGAAATTAGAGGTTGTATAAGGCTATTCAATTTTACACAGATAACATCACTTAACATGATTATAAGTATAAAAATTCACAACGGATGAAGTTGTACACAGAAACAAAATAATTAATTCCCACAATTAAAAACTAAGTCTAGTAACTAAATTTTAGTTGCATTATACAGAATGATTCTTAAGTGAGTAAAACAAAATTTTAAGAGATATTCCTTGGCTTATTTTACGAAAAAAAGGACATATGTCCTAAAGTGTTTTCTTTTTATGATACATGAATATCCCCTTAAAATGTACTTATTTAGGAATCACCCTGTATAGACAGCTAGCTTTCAGCTGTAGAAGCTAATTCTTTTCCGTGTACGCGGTCAAAAAAGAAATTTGTTCGAAGCTCCGAGACCGAGTTTCTTCAATTTCCGATGAAAAATGTTATTTCAGTTTTTAATAGAAATATGTTAGTAGACAACGGTAATTATGCATTCATACGATGACTTGTACGTCACTCACCTCACTTTCCGTCGTATCCGTTCGCAATCAGACTCTTGGGCAGCAAGGAGCGCGGGGAAATTCCCGTAGAATCGTCGGCGATGAGTTCTCACTTCGTTTTTACTCACACCTCATCTCCGGAGGACGCTCTCCGGCTCATTTGCTTTCGTATTCTTAAAGACTGCGCGCGCGCGCGAGCAGGTGGTCGAAGCGGCCGCTGAGAGATTCCGCACACGGGAGGCGAGAAAATTCTGTCAGGCTATTTTCGACTAATGTGGTTTCGCGATTTTACGATCGCCGAATCCTCTCTCTCTCTCGTGCGTGTGTCTTCGTCTAATCGCTCCTCTTCCAAATTCAATACGCGCGACCGAAGAGGAAGGAAAGGAACGGGAGAAAGCGGGAAAAATGGCCCGACGCGAAAATTCCTCGAAAGGCGAGCCGCACGCGTCGTACGCAGGCGGCCAGTTCCGGAAAAACGCCGGCGAAGCCGGGGGCGATGTGCGGGAAAAGAAAAAAAAAAATTGGCGAGCTCGATCGTGCGTCGCGCAGCAACGAACGCGAGAACAACGGTCGTCGACAGTGATCGGAGGCGCGCGCGGCCAGACTGAATCCGTTCTGTCGGTCCTCTTTCCCTCGCGCCTCGTACGTCGCCGGTCGTCGTCGCCGTCGTCGTCGCCGTCGTCGTGACCGTGGTCGTCGTCCCATTCACACTCCCGCGGCTCCTCCGACGCTCCGAAATCGCTCCCAAGGCGCATGAGCGCGATCCATGGACAGGCGGTCTAGGAAGGGAGCCCCGCGGGAACATTGTTCCGTTTTAACCCGTAAGGTATGGCGCTCTTTTTGCGGCAAAAGAGCCCGCCGCGCGCTCTCGTGAACGGAATGAAATAGCGAACAGGATGGGTCCTGGCGAGTAACTTTCTTCTGCGCCGCGCCGCCGCGACGTGAGAGTATTTCGCGCCGGCACGTCGGGCCGTAATTCCTTTCTTCTCTCTTTTTTTATTCTTCTTCTTCTTCTTCTTCTTTCTTTCTTTCTTTCCAGACGGGGGAAATCCGAGGTGAAAATTGAAAATTACACAAACGCGCGGTACCCGAAGGGAATGCGCGACGCGCGGATTTGCATCTCGCGAGCCTCGGACGGCGGACGTTCACCTCCGGAGAAAAGGGGTGATCTCGGAAGAGAGGGGTCGCGTGTACGCGTACAGCTTCGCCGACGGATCTGTTTCTGCGGGAAGACAGCTGTGGCTGATAGCCCGCCGCTTAATAACAAAACCGAACCGCGGCGATGTAAGAAGAAACTCCGTCACGACCGAGAGAGTATACGGTGGGCAACGAGATCAGAGAACGGGGAAATCGTCGTTGCCTCCCCCCCCCCCCNCCCCACGCGTAAGAAGCCAATCCTGCGAAAGCCACCCTTTGCGGAGTTACGGACGGTAACAGCGCCGCGCGCTCTCGAGCGAACGGCACCCCCTTCATATTTCGCGGCGGAGAGCCGGCGATAGAAAACCACGAACGCATACAAAACGCCGGTCGATCCGCGCATAGACGTAATAAGCGAACCTGGGGAGATCCGCTTGGACAAAGACCACCGTCAGCAGAGCTGCCGTCGGGAGAAACTCGTCGCGCGCGATGACCTATGGAGCCCACGTAGGGCTCTTGCCCTTGGCAAAATTGAAAGTTCGAATATAAGTTGCCGAATAAGAAGAACGAACGACGGATCCTGCTGTGCTCGCGAGGAACGCTCATCACGCGGCGCAGAGATATTCGAATCTGACGTATGGCTCGTTGAGTACCTGTTTAATTCGATCTTACCGGTGACAACTTATTTCGCTGGCAATTTGATAACGCAACGCGATGCTTGAGAACCGATACATATTAATAAGTACGTCACTCAATCGGTGGTCCCGTCACCTGATCACCGACTCCTCCCTTTAACGTTCAGCTGAGAGAGGCGTGTGAAATTAGCGCGCAATCACCGCTCAATTATTGCGCGATTGTCTCGCAATAATTACGAAGATCGGATTGATTAATTCACTTGATTGAAACTCGCGCGACAGATCGGATCAATTATCCCACCTGCAGGGTGCGAATTTAACGCGTCTCCTTCGTTAAAGAGCACAACGAGGAGCAAAACGGTAATTGGTTGTCTGATTGCTTCGGAGAATCGCTGATCGTTTAGCGAGACGTTTATCCGAACGTCGGCGGGAACAGCAGCGGGATCGCGGTATGATTTTTCACTTACGTGCCCGTCCGCGCGTAAATATCGCCGTCGTAAAGTACGACGCTGACACGTAGGCGTGCGGGCCGCGCATAATCCGCCGTATCAGCGCTTTTCAGACGGGAGACTCCCTGGCGGTGGCGGAAATTTTGAAATATGGGGGATTAACGCGGAACTCTCGGTCGCGGGCTATTTGTCAGGCGAATAGCTCGCAGTGCCCGCGGGGCGAGGGGGGCGAGGCGTACGAGCCTAAAATCGCGAACGGATCGCCGATGCATTCTTCATGTCGGCGAGCTTCGACGTGCAGCGCTCAAATGCGCGTAACTCTCTTTTTCTCGCGACGTCGGCCGATTAAACGTTACGCAAGTCCGTAAGAACGCGAGGAACTCGCGCGTGACTTGCTTCGCAGAACGATCATTCGAGGCACGGAGACAACAAATCGGAAGGCCGCGCCACCGTGGATTTATTCCGAGGGTTCCCCTTGAAAGCGACGTTTCTTTCGAAGAAGGACCGCGCGCCGCGGGTGACCGGCGGATACCGTTAGATCGCGGTCCGCTTATTTCGTTCTCTTGCGGCTGAGATAGTTTATTTGATAAAAATTCTCCCCGGGAAGAGGATTCGCGAAAATTCACCGGGGGACCGACTCTGCTTGGTTGATCGATTTTCGCGGACAAGCGAAAAGGACAAGCTCGCTCGACACTGTTGCAGCGGAGTCCCTTGAACACAGAGTCTGGATGATCACGTAAGTTTTCTCATTGGCTGCGGACTATTTTGAAGTAAAATGGCGAAATCGATTCTGTTCTATCCCTACTTCGAGCACCATCACGCACGGGAAGAAGCAACTAACCAACCAGTCATATTTTCTGCAAAGTGATAAAATTCGGAACACTGATAGATCTAGGATCGATGAAAAGGTTAAAATACCATTTTTATATTTGGTAGTGACTGTAAATATTTTTGTTATTTTGTTTTAATTCTATAAGTTTCAACCATATTGTATATCCTTACCTGTTTATGGTAGATAAATATAAAAAGTAAACGTCTAATAAGAAGATTTCTAAGCAAATTAATATAATATGCACATTCAATATAGAAGGCTCCATTAATACTGTCCCATTCCCTCGGCATAGTAACATTGAAAATTTCCAATTAGGCACGTTAGTTTGGAATATTTATATATCATGACTGTTGCTTTGGAGCACCGTTGCCAATTTATCAAATTATCAACAATCATGATGCATGAATATTCGCGCGTAATGTCCCTGATTGTAAATTGTCCATGTTACTATGCATAAGAAATGGGGCAGTATTAATAGAACATTTAATAGATTCTGTATAGAATCAGTCATCAAAAAATAGAAGAATTTGTTCCTTGATAATTTCCGAGAGATATATTTTCCTATTAGATACGAAGCGCGAACAACGGTTTTTATCCTGACGTGAAGTTCTACGCTATCCTTAATGAACACGTATGTACACATACGTACATATGGATTTAACGGGCTCGAAGTATATCGCGGAACCGGGCGAATCAACGCGCCGCGAAGTACGCAATTGAGCTCGTTTCTTTTTACGCGGCCTCAGCGGCTCGTTATTCACGAACGAGCCGAATTATTACGGTTCTCGCACTGAGGTCGCGATTGTCTTTCATTAAGGTTAAATTCCGAGAACTGGGAGCGCTATATTCGGGCATAAAAATTACCTCCGAGGCATTCATTTATTTCCATCCTCGCTCGTTTTGCACATGCGATTACACGCAGTTGTATTCAAATGTTTCTCCTTAGATTGCGCCTGGTCGTAATTAAAGCAGTAATTAAAGCAGACCGTAAATTTATTTTCTTAGGTATCTTCTCAATTTTCAACAGATATTAATCGAGACACGATCTACATGTGTGTAAAATTAGAAAAAGATCGGCCACATCGAAGTTGGGATCATTGAAGTTAAAGTTAGCACTATTTATATCACTGTTACAAAAACAGCTTCCAATATTACGTTTTTAATTCTAGCGAACGAACTGTTCTTACGGATTTAACGAAAATTGAAGAGACAATAAAAGAGACTTGTAGAAATATTCCAAAATAATTACAAGATCGTTGATCACTCAGTTATCCAGAATTGATATGTAAAGTACATGATAACGGTTGAGATACACTACAGTTAACTTGTGAAAGTACTAAAGATTTGGCAATATTGCGCTCTATATTTCCCTCCGTGCTTCTTGGTTAGGTCTTTTTAAACAATGGAACGGTTATGTAAATAGAATAACCTTAAAGATTCATAATTAATGCGTAAAAATATAGAAAAATATGGAAAAATCCGATCATTCTTTTAGTAGCGTACATTCATGTGCGTCTATTGGGGGATACAAATGATATATTTACAAACATGTGTCGTTCACCTGATCTCGTCGCTTCTCCGAAGGCGATTCCTTCGAGCAATAGACACGAGTTATTTTACACGTTAGTACATCTGCCGTTTCTTCTCACATCTTCGCAACTCCTTCAATTCCAAATCTCCCACCCGAGGGATCGCGCGACCTAGCTTTCCGCGCGATTAATTAAATCTTTTTGCCGGACATGTAAATGGGAATCAAGCTACGGGGTGGGACCACCCATTAAACGCTCGTTACACCACGCGGCATGGGCGATAATGTCACCCATTGGGTCCGAAAGTAAAAAGAAGAAAAGAGGAAAAAGAAGAGAAGAAGGAGGGAGAGAGCAAAGCAAGAGGAAACCCGCGAATAATTGGTCGCGCGCAGCTGACGCGCTGATTATCGTCATTCAACAGCAATGCGATCATCCTCGGAAAATGTACGGCCACGGGCGAACGAGTTCCATGTATATTAATATCTGGGGCGTGTATTAATTTTGGAGAATCGCGTCCTTTTTGGCGGCTACCTCCGCGTGTATGAGCGAGTGAGCGAGCGCGCACGCGAGGCTTCGCGTACGCTTAATTACGAGCTTTAACTTCGGTGCCGGTGCCATCGTGGAAATTATTTGGCGTAATTACGCCTTGACGCGGGCGACATGGCGACACGGTGCAACGCGCACGGATTCTTCTTTCTCATTTTGCATCTGGAAATTACGGGAATATAAAATGCCGCGAAAAATTGAGCACATTCCGCGCTCGTGTTCCCGCAACACACGAGAGCGTCGTATTTGAGGAGCATTAAAAGAGGCGGCTTGATGGAAATACGAAATTCGACAGCGTCGTGGTCTATTTGCACTAACCGACGCCGGAAACGAAGCCGGCGTCGGGACGAAACCGAGAAATCAAACCGGGGAGCGCATAGACGGGTTTCTGAAAAAATCGTCAGAAGCGTCGCGAGATCTCTCTTTCCGCGCGAATGAAACG